AGCTGTGCCCCCAACCCACCTGGGGTAGTTGTTGCAGTACTGGGTGTAGATGGCAAATTCCTGACTCTGCAGGTAAGGGGAACGCAAGTGAGAGCCTGGTATGACCACGTGTCCCCCCTGGTGTCCCCACAAGGCTCCCTGTGCCCTTACCCGGGTGACGAAGCACACGGCCACAGCCACGGGGTCATTGGCACAGCTCTCCAGGTTTTGCAGGAGGGTGCTGGGGGGCACAGAGAGGACAGGGTGACCACAGCCCCCCGCACACCCATGGGACAGGGTTACCCCTGTCACCTTCCAGTGGCACCTGCTCCCCCACCTGCTGAGCTCGTAGATGTCCTCAATGTTCCCGAAGAGAGCGCTGACCTGCTCTGGTCGCAGCACCGGCTCCTCCGCGTCGATGATCTTGCCCAGGTAACCCTGCCGGGCACCCACGGTGGCACCATTGCACCCCTAGACCCACTCTGTGTCCAGGGGTGTGCCCCCGTGTGCCCCCTGGCACCCACCTCCACGATGCTGCGCAGGTCCCGGGCATAGGTGCGCTCTGACTCCACGATCTCCTGCACCACACGGTCCAGGTAGCTGGGCTTGGCCCNGGCTGGGCTGCCCTGGGCAAGATGGCAGAGGCTCGGAAGCGCTTCCTCACCCAGTGCCGCAACTTCCAGGAGTTCCTTCGCGACACCAAGCAGGCGGAGATCCTCCTCACCAAGCAGGTGGGTGCTCAAGCGATGTCCTTTGGGTCTCACAGGCATCCCAAAAACGGGTGATTATGTACTGATCCCTTGCTGTGCCCCTCAGGAGTATACGCTGTCCCACCTGGAGCTGCCCTCCACACTGGAGGGCTCGGCTGCTGCCCTGCACCGCTTCCAGAACTTTCGTGCTGGTGTGGAGAGCAATGCCAAGAAGGTCCCAGAGGTGGTGGTTGGTGGCACCAAGCTGGTGGCTGAGGAGAACATCTTTGCTGAGAAGATCTCTGAGAAGTGCCGAACTCTCCAGGAGCGGTGAGTCTGGCACAGGGCTGGTGGATGGGTGGGCAGTGTGTGGGCAGTGGGGCTGATGCTGCACATCCGTGGTTCCCTGCTAGGCATGGAGCTGTCATGGACAAGGTGGAGGAGGCAGCAGGTTTGATGCAGGACAACCACGACCTACAGACCTTTCTGCAGAGCTGCCGTGAGGTAGGAATGCAGCATGGCTGGTGGCATCCCTGGGGGGTCCCCACTGGCTGAACACTGACACCCTTCTCTTCAGTTTGATGCCTGGGTGGATGAGAAGATGCTGATGGCTCAGGATGTCTCCTATGGAGAAGCCCGTGGTCTCCACAGCAAGTGGCAGAAGCACCAGGCATTCATGGCTGAGCTGGCACCCAACCAGAGCTGGCTGGAGAAGATTGAGGCGGTGGGTGCCAGCACTGTGATCGGAGAGGGGGGATGGAGTTGGGGAAGAGTCTGGAGCATGAGGAATTGCTGAGGGAGCTGGGAGGCTTGGCCTGGAGAAAAGGAGGCTCAGGGGGGACCTTCTTGCTCTCTACAACTCCTTGATGGGATGGTGCAGCCAGATGGGGGTTGGCCTCTTCTCCCAGGAAATAAGGGAAAGGATAAAAGGAAACAACCTCAAGTTGCACAGGGGAGATTTTGATTGGGTATCAGGAAAAATTTCTTCAGGGAAAGGGTTGTACAGCCCTGGCACATTCTGCCCATAGTGGTGGTAGAATCCCCATGCCTGGTGGGATTTAAAAGCTGTGTGGACAGGGCATCTGGGGACATGGGTTACTGGTGGCCTTGGCAGTTCTGGGGGAATGGTTGGACTTGTTGTGCTGAGAGGTTCCATGACTCTGGAATGCTCCCAGCCTGCTGCATGGGTGAGATATCCCCGTGCCGCAGTGACCACCCCTCTCTGCTGCTGCCGCAGGAGGGGACGGAGCTGGCCGG